AACATGTGGGGATCAAACTTTTCAGGCACTGGCAAGGCAACACTCTTCTGTCGTCTTTACACTCCATTGACTCTTTTAAAAAGACATGTCTATACACTTTGTGAAGACAATGTAGACCTGTATGGACCATAGACTGTAATGGGGCTTAGTAACCGTGATATTATCTATTGGTTAGGGAAGTTTCTGAAACCTGGAACTGAGCGTTTTCCCTGTGGGTATCTTGCTGTTTTAAAATTAAATGTGATCTATGATAGTAACCATTAGGAGTCTCCCTCTGCTGGCTATTATCAGAATAAGCACATGTTTAAAGCACTTTCACTTCACTGCATGGCTGCAGCCATCTTTAAGATACAGTCCCTGTTTGCACAGCATCACACTGAACCATAAAAACACAATTCATAACTGATGAATAGATAGCATTCAAAGCTTTAACCTATTTAGTCAAATGTGTCCTCATCAGAGCCAAACAACACAGTTTATATTAACTGTACACTTTTGCACCTTTGCCTATGGACTGCGAAGCCATGCTTGCTATCATTTTTCTTTTGTAGTATTGCACTGCCCTCTATGGGACTGCATCCAAACTGCACACAGTTTTGTGTGTTTCGGGCATATCTCCTGCCCAACTGTTTTCAGCACATTATGGATCTATATTTCAGCACAGAGGGCATTACATTTTGCCGAGAAGCTTTTAATAACAATTTCTCGAGCTCAGCTTTATTCAGTGTCTACTGTAAATGGCTTGCTGTATTTTAACTTTTTGCGCTGATTTTAGAGACAGGCACAGATGTTCCACTCTCTATGTGTATAGACACAGCTTGTATGTGAATCACTAGGGGAATATGTCTAGAAAGCGCATACGCATTTGCACACCTCCAACCTGGTAGAGTGTTTGTGCTTGTAAGTACTTGAATAATTGAGCCAGATTCAAACACACCATCTCTCTGAAAGGAGTCATGGAGGAGGAGGAGGAGGAAGAAGAGAGAAGGAGAGCAGATGGCCCAGTGCAGATAGACTCAGAGACTGGGAGCGAGGAGTGTTCTCTGAAGGACAAGGTCTTGTATTGTTGTGGCTGCGAGGGCAGCTCTGTCACACGTCGTACCAGGGGTCCCCAAAGAGCCAGGGTCTTATGGTGTCAGTGTCCCCCCAGTCCTCATCCCCCAGCCCTGGCCTATTGTGATTCTTGTTTTTTAATTTCTCAAACGCAATCAAGTGTGACACAAACTGTTTACCTAGCGTGTCTGCCACAACCAAGAAGAGAAAAGGAGAGGAGAGAGAGAGAGAAAAAACAGGCACACAAGCCAGGATCTCGGCACAAAAATAATCCTCCATAATACCAGAGAGTTTAAAGAGGCTTTGCCAACACCTCCCTGAATCCCCCCCTCCACCTCTCTTTGCTCTTATGAAAAAAGGAGGGGGGAGATAAAAAGAAAAAGGCAAGGAAAAAAAACACATCAGAAGAAAGCTGTTAAATTCGCCCCTCAGTCTCGTTTGGGATTGCTAATTATTGTTTTTAGAGCACAACAATTGGGGTATTAGGGCATAAGCGGCTGGAGATAACATCCAGAGGAAGGCGAGGGGAGGGAAAGGGGAGAAAAGGGAAGAGGTGCACGGGGGGAGACAGATAATGGCTCGACAGAAGGGGAGCTATGATAGGGTCTGGTCCATGGCAGTGTCTCTCTGTACTGCGACACACCACAATATCGGGGGACTCGCTGACTCGCTCTGTCTCCAAGGATCTTGAAAAGTGAAGAAAACTTGGCAAGGAAAAGTTTCCAATGTTTGACAGATTATGAATTTGGCTGAGATCAGAAGAAAGGGAATGAGAACAAAGTCACCTCATCACACCACAACAAACAATGTTAATATAACCAAAATATTCAGGAAAAGAAATGTAAAAATACTGCTATAACAGATATGCCTTAAGAAATATATAAAACCCCTTGTGGAATTATCATCAAACACAACATTTATCATCATCTTTATGGGAATTTTGTGACTTTTAGCTCTTTGTTTCAGTTTCTGGCCCAAATGTGACGCAACCAATGAACAGCAGAGTGGTACATTTAACAGATAAAAAGACATATTTTTCTCTTAGAGGACTAAGAAAGCCCAAATCTAAAGCAAAGGAGAGACAAAAGATTTTGAAAGTCAGCTGTGGACTTTTATCGTCTTTCCATGACTTTTGGTGAAAAAAAAAACCCTCGCAGTTTCTGTCATGTGTTACATTTTCATGTTACGAATGGGTCAGTTTTGGTGTTGGAGGTCTGCAAATGAAAAACTAGCAGATTTTGTGACATCACCACCAATATATAAGAGAAGAATCTAATTTTTAAAGCAATGATAACTTTAAATTAGAGGTGATCCAAACACCGATCCTTGTGGAACATCAAACATGAAATTATAGACAGAGGGGACATGGTATGGCAACATAATATGTTTAATGATGTTGTTTATATTACATGACTTGACTTGATTCAGGTTTGTTTAGGAGTGAGTGGTTTGTGGTGCTTAACTGCTGACACTGATGGGCAAAGATAGATGGCACACTATCGTATTACAAAATAATTTTATTTCAATGAAGAAAAGAAACTTTAGAGTACCAAAAAATTACCTGGAGATGGCGTATGCCCCAGAGGAGAGAGAAAAAAACTGGACAACACATTCATACACACGCACACACACACACACACACACAC